ATAATAACAATACAGTAGCAATTTAGTAGCAATTTAGTAGCAATAAAATGCAGTAGTGTAATAGTTAACACTACTGTAACTGCTCTGTTACTATTATTTGACTATTAAGTAACTATTAAGTGACAATTAAGTAGTGATGTTTATAAAAATTGGGCAGTTTCAGCAAAGTTGTTCATATTTAGAGAAGTTGTTTTACTTCAATCAGTTTTGTATTCAAAAGAATATTCTATTCCATATCACAATAGAATTTTTCTTATTAATATCATAATATTCTGTTTTCATATATTTCAATTTTTTGTCTTTCATATCAGGGGATGTCAATTGTTATAACATGTTGTGATGCTTATTGATCATCCAAAAATAGTAATAATTTTTATGTACCATTTTTCTCTTCTATGCAGATTAAGAGAAGACCTTTGGAAAGTTAAATACTAATAAAATGTGTTCTAATTTTTGATAAATAGTTTTGCATTTGACTTGGCTGACTAGAATATCCACTTTGTATTGTTTTTTGCTATATCTTTAGTTTCTGTTGAAGGAGGAAAATAGTCTGGGTCTTTTGAAATCTCTTGCTATTTCTTTGCTTTTCTCTTTGTTTTAAGTCAGAATTTACTTGTTTTCTGATATAATATCTAAATGTGTCTCTATTTCTTTATCAGTATTGTTGATTCTTGGATTTCTTCTGTTTTCAGAGCTGATTCTTATTTTCTAATCATATTGGTGACTATTTGAAGTGCTGCTTTTATTGTAATGTATTTTGACAATTTTGTTTCATAAAAAAGAACTGGTAATTGTTTCTTGGCTATTCTGTTATTCTTGATTTAGTTCTATTCTTATTTATTATTATTCTATTGTTGTCTTTAATTTGGTTCTGAGCTACTATTGTAATGTTTTTTTAGATATCATCTTGGATGTTGTTGGGTTCTGTTTTGCAACTATTGTTATGAACTTTTTTGCATATGGTTGTGTTCTGATAGAAATGATATCTTTTTCTACTTTTCTTTCATATCTTAAAGCTCATTCCAATTTATTGAAAAGTTTATTGAAGTCTCTTGACTTCTGTTGTTGTTGGATATCTTTTCAGCAAATATTTTGTTTGTATTTTTCTAAAAAGGAAATTTAATACATTTGGAAAAGAGTTTTGGTTATATAACTATATTATCTAATTTATCTTATTTAACACTTGACAATATACATATTATTATACTTAATTTTTACTTAAGATTTATATTATTTCTTGTTTTATTTTTTACTAATATTATTAAAATTTTAAAAATTTTATTAACTTTAGATAAATACTATTATATATTATTAGCATTTATTAATATTTAATATTTTTAATTATATTTTCTATATGATATATTTTTTTTTTCCAAGAATTTTCAAAAAACCTATATAGTTTTAAATGACATAGCAAATTTGAAATATTGTAACTTAAAAACTCAATTGTGAAGCTTTTTTGAAATTATAAGTATTTATTTATAAAAAGATTAAAAAAATAATTTTTGTTATTAAAATAATAATATTTTAAGTAAATTTGTTTTTTCTTTTATAAATAAAAAATTTTCTTGTATAAACAGATAAACTATACATAAATAATTAGATTAGAAGCAACCTACAATTAATTAAAATATTATAAAAAAGCTATAATTTTTCTTAGTTATAAAAAAAACAACTATTATAATTATAAAATTTTGAATTCTTGTATTTTTTTTTAAATTTTTTTTAATAAAATTATAATTATTTTATATTTTATATACATATATATTTTATTGTTTTTTTTTAAAAATTTAATTTTTATATTTTGTTATTTTTTGATTTCAATATTAAGACAAAGTTATAAGATTAACCAAAATAATAATTTTGAATTATTTATATTAATTTGTTTAATAGTATTTGAAACAGAACATATATTGAAAATAAATTAAATTATTAAAAATTGGAAATTATTTTTATTGATAATTTTAAAGTTTGTTAAGAAAAAAACTGAAAGTTTCAATATATTAATTTGTAAATTTTATTTTTTTTTAAATTTCTTTTAATATTTCTTTGATTATTTTCTTTTCTTTTATTTTTTATAGAAGCACCCAGTTTACTGTAAATATAAATCAACACAATTATTATTTTGCTCTTAATAATAATATATATTTTAATGAATTTATAAAATTTATTAAAACAAGATTAAAATATTAAATTTAAATTAAATTTCTAATTGAATCTAAAGATAAAAAATAATTTATTAAAAAATAAAAATAAAAGTTTTTAATATTTAAAGAAAATCTTTTAATTGATATGTATTTTTTTATAAGTTTAAGATTTTTTAATTTCAATTCTATTATAGTTATATTTTCAAAAAAAAAAATTTAATTTATATAATAAATTAAATATTTTAAGATTTTAATTTTTTTTAAATTATTATTGTTACTTTCAAAAAAAATTTTTAAGACAAAAGTAAATAAAACAAATAATTTTAAATATGTTATTTTTTTTAAATATAATAATATTAACAATTTTATAATATAAAGTTATAAGAATTAACAATAAAAATATTAATTTAAATAATTATAATTTTTATTAAAAAAATATAAAAAAAACATTAAACAAATAAATTTCAAATATAATAGAATAAATTTAAAAATATTAATTTATAAAAATATAATAAATTAATATAAAAATATTTGCCAAGATTTACAAATATTTAAATATTTTGATCAATTTAAAAAAAAACAGATTATCAAAAAATATAATTATGAAATTTTTAAAATAAAAAACAAGTTATTATTAATTATGTATTTAGAATATTTGTAATTAAAAAAAATATTATAAGAAAAAGTAATAAGTAAATAATAAAAACTTATATAAAAAAATTATATTTTAAATATATGTATTGGATTTAATAAATATTTAAAAATATTAAAAATGCAAAAAAATTCAATAATATACAAATTTATAAAAAATAATAAAGAATAATTGATTTTATATTAAAATTTTTAATTTAAATATTTAGTACTACATATAATTTATAAGATTAATTTAATATGATGTAATAAAAAATCAATTAATTAAAGAATCAATTATATAAATTTTTTAATAATTATTTGTTATTTGATTTAACGAAAACATTTTTATTATCATTTTATCACAATCAAGTAAAATTTATTAAACATTTAACAAATATTTTTTTTATATTTTACAATAAATTCGGTAATCTATATTTTCCAATGCAACGAAAAAATATTGCTTGATGGTTTGTTATCAAGAAACGGATTTCTTTTTAACCATAGATTTGATTTAATTTATGAATTTCGTGTAAACATGAGAAATCTCATTTCTTAACATGATAATAAATTCAAATACATTATAAATAAAATAAATAGAAATAGAAATAGAAATATAGATGTAGATATAGATCTGGATAAATAGAAACGAATAAATTTAAAAAAAAATATCAAACACTTTTGTTTTAACCTTATTTTAGTTCATATACAGTAGTAATTAATATTTATAAATTTTAAATGAAAAAAAAAAAAACCAGATTTGCATATGGTACAATAATATCATATAATAATTTCTAACTATTATTGAGATAATCTTGAAGATCGTATACATCATGTGCCGTATTTTTAAATTTTTTCAAATTTTCTTTATTTGTATTTCTCAATCACTTTTCACAGACACAGCCATATTACGTGTTCCGTGTCGATCGTAGGACGCGTTTCACTTTTGCAGCACCGATCGGGATATGATCGCCGATGATATTATTGCACAATACGTACATTGTCGCGACCGCATACATTTTTGCCCGCGTGTAACATTAATTTTATGGAGAACAAAAATAAAACTTATAAATTTTTATTGACGAGCATTCGATCTAATAAAACAGATGGTTAAACAATTCAACCTTGAATTTATTGGGACATATTTAATAATGATAACAATAAAATAATTATGAAACTTATTTAACGTATTTAAGAAATGGAATCGCAATAATCCAAGACCTACTAAAAGTGGAAACGCATGTGCTTTGAAGAAGAAATCATTTCGGCGGTGTCCGAAATACTCCAAATGAAGAAGTGATCGAATACAGACAGAGTAATCTTGGGTCTTGTTGTGAAAAGAGTGTCGAAACCGTATATTATCAAGGGAAGACGTTCAGCCATTCCTGAAATCCGATGAAAATGGAAGTATGAAATGGTTAATGTAACCCGAAAGAAATTGTTCGAATGAATTCGTGAGACGCGAGATTAAAAAAATGAAGATAAGAAAATGGAATGTGAGTTTAATTAAAAGTATGGTTGGAAACAAAAAAAAAAGAGTCAAATCTTAATTGGCGTTGAAAATCGTGATCTACGAGAGGATTATCCCATGCCTGTAAATAATTTATTTTCTAATTTCTAAATGCTTTATTTAGCATGTGGAGTATATAGTCTTAATTTATTTGTCTAGAATACTTTCTCGAAGGAGAGTTCAAAGAGCCCGGGGGCGCGGGCGTTCACATGATACATACGAAGGTTGGAGATCAGTATAAAAAGTATTATACTGTAAAAGTTGCGTAGCGGTAGAGCTTTTATCCGCAGTAAAAATCCCGTATCTCTTCAAAAAAAAAAAAAAAAAAGTCCTCTAAACTCTGGGGGAGTTCATTGGGTGTGATCGATCGAATATCAGATAGCACATAAGATGATGAGTGGGAACAGAATAAAAAAAAGGTTGTTGACTAAATCCATAGTGACTTTCTGAAAGTTGAAACAAACAATAGATCATATGAGGCCTTAAAATACACGGGTCTAGACAAATATGCCATTGACCTCAAATAATGTGTTTTGATGTGATAAACATGACGTGCCGAAAAGGAAAAAAATTTTCTGGGTACAACATATTCAAGTGCCATTAGGCGCAGCTTTCTTTAATGAACGTTCCGTGATAATTATGCATGCTTGTTTGTTACACACGAAATCCTCATTATACATACGTACATGCAAAAATTGGGTGTATAATAAAACATGTCTTCATTAAAAGACTCGTTCAAAATCGCCATAGACTATGGATTCATTAAATCATTTGATTACAAGGCATTCGAAAACTGTAAGCCGATTGCGAGGGGAGCGTTCGGAACAGTTCACAAAGCTTATTTCAGAAACATTGAAAAGAATGTGGCGCTAAAGAGCTTACACTACGACGAAACCGATGATGAACATTTTTATAATGACTTTATAAGAGAGGTATGTATGTTGAACATTTGATGGGAAGAAATGATTTTTTTTTCTAATGAGAGATCCCTGGTTTAACATTGAAACCTGATTTCGCAAGTTACAAAACATTAGTGCGGTCAATTATAGTGATAATGTTGTTAAATTTTTGGGCATCAGTCTAGGTATGGTGCAATCACCAGTCATCACAATGAATGAATGAATGAATGAGTTGTGCGCGGAATTTCAATGCTAAAAATATCTATTACCATAGACCATTTAACGGATACACATTACCTCGTACTCGAGTATGCCGAAGATGGGGATCTACGATCTTATTTGCGTGAGAACTTCACCAAGCTTGATTGGGAAACGAAGATACGAATGGCCAAGGATATCGTATGCGGAGTAAATTGCATTCATGATTCAAATATTGTTCATCGAGATCTGGTGGGTACATACGTTTAACACGTTGGTCGGTTGGTTGTAGCGAGTTCATCACATTTTGATTTATCGAAAAAAAAAAACCTCTTCGAACAGCATTCAAAAAATATACTTGTGCATCGGGGCCGGTTGTTGATCGCGGATTTGGGTCTATCCAAACCGTTAGATAAGAATCTTAATAGTTCCTATTCTGTTGCAGGAGGAACGTTTGCATACTCGGATCCTCAATATTTGAAAAATCCGGAACATTATAAACGTCATAAAGCTTCAGACATTTATAGTGTGGGTGTACTATTATGGGAATTGTCAAGTGGGAAGACGCCTTTCAATAATAAGCCGTTGATGGAAACGCTAACAATGATATCAAACGGTGTGAGGGAAACACCTGTCAATGGAACACCATTAGCTTACATTCAGATTTATACGAAGGCATGGGTGGATGATCCGGAGAAAAGGCCCACGATAGGGGAAATTCAATTAGACCTTAGAAACATTCAAATGGAGCCTGTACATTATGATAATAGTGCTGGGCCTATTTTAGAAGCCACTAATGAAACCATCATAGATAGTGGCGATTTGGTGACTTTTCGCCCTGAGGATTATAACTCTGGAAGCTTGAACACTGTGGGTCCCCTCAGCAATTCGATTTGGTCTACTGGTTTCGACTCGATCATGCACGAGAAAAACACATCAGAGGACAACGCCGGGAGAAGAGATGTTTTGGGTATTTGTTGTGTCCTTAATCTCGTCTAGAAAACACACACGCACAAAGTCAATTAATTTCTTTTGTTAAATTTATACCTAAATATCACACCGCGTCCATGAAAAAAAAAACCCTTTCACCTACTGAAGCGAACACAATTAGCAATCCAACCCAAGTAAATTCGCATGGCAGTTATCATCAAATAAAAATACCTAACGGTTATACCCAGGTGAATTCGCATGGCAGTTATAACCGAGTGAGCTTATCTAGCGGTTATAATCCGCTTAGCGGTTCAACACAAGTGAATCTGCTTGACAGTCCAACCCAAATAAATCCAACCCAGGTGAACCCGCTGAGTGTTCCAACCCAGGTGAACCCACTTAGTATTTCAGCCCAAATGAAATCGCTTAGTATTCCAACCCAAGTGAAATCGCTTAGTATTCCAACCCAAGTGAAGTCGCTTAGTATTCCAACCCAAGTGAATCCGCTTAATATTCCAACCCAGGTGAACCCGCTTAATATTCCAACCCAAGTGAACCCGCTTAGTGGTCCAACCCAAGCAAATCCGCTTCGTATTCTAACCCAAGCAAATCTGACTAGCGGTAATGTCCTAGTAAACGCACACGCTCAATCAAACGTAAATGTGCATCGTGATCAAACCAAATCTGATGCATCTACTTCTAGTCCAGTCAAGGGAGAAACACTGAACAATTCTAGTGTACGTATTGTTTTAACTTGTTCACTCCATCCTGAAGATAAAAATAACCGACTATTTATTTTTATTATATTTTATAATTTAGAATAATCTAATATTGCCACCAGACAACTCTCCTATCAGTGTGAGTACGACGTAATATTTTCGAATTTCTTCGCAATGAGTTTTTTTTGAGTGATTATTATTAAGCTCATTGATGTAATTTTTAGAAAAGTGATGAAAATAAAGACGATCGTAATCAGGTAATTTCGATGGAAATATGTACAAACATGTGTACATCGACATTCTGAATAATCGCTTTTCTTCTTCTTTTAGAATTATTATCATTCATGCGAAGAAACCCTCAAGAAGATTGAGGAATTGCATTACTCCAATCGCGACTTTGAAGATAGCATAAGGAGAGGTAGTTCCGTCTGTGATGCACATTTGCACGTCGCCCTTGGAGACATTCAAGGTCTGAAGTGGCATCTTGACAACGGATCCAGTGCCGTCGACTACTACGGGTCATTCATGGAGAAAATAATGCTTTATAATTTTGCGTTGAAATATTGTAACGCGGAAAAAATAATGCTCGTGTTAGAGACCCTCAAGCCTTACCATTCGGGTTATCCATTTTACCCCAAAATGGAGTACCTATTGAATAATAGTTATTTTAAGAACACTCGAGGATTGATTGAATCCAAGAAAATTATGCGATGGTTCGTTGACGAAGGGTATGACATCAACAGCAAAAACGTGAACTCTATGTATACATTATATGATACCTTGCACCAGGCTGTCGATAGAAACCTTTACTACGAAATTATTTACATATACTTGGAAAACAAGTTTGATCCGAACAATCCTTACAATGCGTCAATTCCAAATTTATTGTTTTTTGGTATACAGGAGAAATATTCGAAAGTCACTCTTGAGCTCATCCTAGATTTTGGGGTGAACAAGAAAACAAAGAATGACAAGGGGATGAATGCTCTTGCGTTTGCAACAAAGTTAAAAAACATGGATGCAATGGAATGTCTCTTGGAAAATGGCTTGGAGTTTAGTGAAAGTCAAAGTTTGAAGGATGCGATCAAGTATTGTGACATCTGGGGTAAGGAAAAGACCTATCTCAAGAGTTGGCAAGGGAAAGAAGGGGAATCCAAGAGACTCAGGGCTGAAAATAGCCATTTTCTGAAACAATTACGATCCTTAAAGAAATAATCATAATGTTGCTTTTACCTTATTTTCATCATATTCAATTAGGTGGGCCTGTACTGTATACGTTTTCTTTTTATTTTTAGACTTAATAAAAACCCGGCGGAATCAATCAATCACTCACGCAATACTACTGTATTAGGAACACGTGACAAATGTTTTTTTATATGTAAATATAGGGGGGCTTGCGCGCAAATATTACGTAATATATTCTGCAGTGGTGCAGTAATAATAAGAAAGTTTCGTTAGATATTAAATGAGATACACATGATACACGCGAACTTACACCAGTTTCCATTATACCTCGCGAACGTGGATTATCCGATTATTGTTACCCTTATTCAAGCGTCGATGTGCACACGCGACGAGATGCGGGTAAGAGAGGACCCGCCCGCCGCTGCGGCATTTAAAACCACCGAGTTCAGAATATACTGTATATAATCGTGTGTGTGTGCATACTGTGCATATTATTAATTTTTATTACTATTATTATTATTTTTATTATTATTATTATTATTATTATTACTCCATTTTTTATTCTCGAGGTAAACAAAGTGATGCAGAGCAATTGTGTTGCATCTTTGTTAATACGACGTGAGTAAAAAAAGAATGTACAGTAGATGTCGATTATTCGTTCACATCTTAATTTGTGATGATATGACACACGCACTCGCTGTATGCAAATAATTGTTAAATTTGTTTAAATACAATCGTTAAAATCAGCGCTTGCTCATATTTGCAATAGTGATTCAAAATCTCCCCTAATAATACGTGTATGTATACACACACCAAACAATGAATGGGAAAAAAAATCCCACATACACAAATGGGAGTCGTTGGTTCTTTTTTTGAAATAAATCAATTACAAATAGTTAAATTGTGCATTTAAAATTATTTCCTTGTCGCCGCAAATAAATTTTTAAATTAAATTGTAATAAAATTTTTTTTTATTTATTTATTATCATTACATTATTATGGAAGTTGATTAAAAATTTGGTGGTTTGAGGGGTTCACCAATTCACACACCCAATTTCAAATTACGACACGTAACTTATCGGTGGTCGCGAGTCACGAGAAATTGCGTACGTCTGGACGTCCGGCAATTGGTTTAGATATGGCACAACCCATTGACGCTAGTATGTATTCGTGCACACACATAAATATTTAATGTATATAATTTGATAAATCGTGAACATAGCAAGATAAAAAAAACCTTAAAATGCCAAGAGTTGGATTTATTTGTAAAACTGACCTAAATAATAAATCAATACGACGACGAAAAATAGTTTTCAATAATTAAAAAACTTTACATGAAAAAAAAAAAAAGGTGTATAAAATAAAAAAAAAAAAAAAAGGATAAAAAAAGATAAATAAGATAAATAAAAAAAATACATGTACATATGTAAAACTTGGAAGAAAAGAAGGAAAGAAAAATTCGATTAAAATCGGATTCACAAACACGCCCTCGCATCTAATAAAAACTGTGAAATATTGAAATTGCAGGTGCGCTTCAATTTTTTTTTTTTTTTTTCTTTCTTTTCTTTTATTAATCAACAAATTAACGTCTGAATTCGTAATTTGGAAAAAATAAAAAATCATCGTTTGATAAAGTGCATATTAAAGCAAAGGCTTACGCATTCTTGTCACGTGATTAATGGCAAGTTGATCTAACTTATGTAATTGTTATAATTGTGCGACATTATAATTATAATTAGTAAACAAATCAACTAGGCCTCTCTTTTCTTTTTTATCAGATAATTTGTTCTCATAGTATTTTGGTACGTGCGCTGGTATTGATATCTAAAATTCGTGAAAAAAAATAAATTTGACGTCAACCAAATTTTAAATTTATGTAATTAGAACAAAGATAAACATCCATTTTTTTTTTTTTTAATTTTACCCTCCAAAACTTTGGCAAAATTATGGGAAAACGTGGCAAAAGAGGTGAGTCTCCGAATGTTGTGTCTCGAGATCTCACTTTTCAAGTAAATTTTTAGAAAGTCAAAAACCTCCTTCAAAGACATTTAACAGTTCTTAGAATTTTTCTTGGTCTCCTTTGAATAAAATTATTTTGCCTTTTGGGGTGTGTATAAAATTAAATTTAATATATATATACAAACAGCTGACCATCAAGGAGATGAGAGCAATCAAGAATCTGATTATACAATTTTAAGTGATAACGAAGATCTCTATTCATACCTGAAGTCTGATGCGCGCGAACTAGAGGCGCTACCCACCAAAGAAGGAAACGCCAGAAAGGATTTCGTGTACAGTGATGCGGACGACGACAATGACATATCCGACTACGAGATTCAAGGGTCCTTCTCACGCAACGATCGCGATTACACGGATTACGAAATGGAAGATGACGACGAACTGTTTGACATGGATGCCGATGGTCATGAGGAACAAGAGAGCGAACCATCCCGATCTGCACAAATTTCATCGAGCGGTGCCACAGCCTCGAATCAGCAAGCCCTCTCATCTCCGTCCTCGGCTGGTGGTAATCCTGCGGGTGCATCTCGAAAGGGTCACTTGAAATGCCGGTTCACAAATTGCACCGAATCGTTCATCCACAAAACCGCGCTAATCGTGCACGAACGAACACACACCGGTGAAAAAATATATACTTGCAATTACCCTGATTGCAACAAGCAGTTTCATCAAAGAAGTTACTTAAAGTATCACGAACAAACGCACTTGACAAATTCGGTGTTTAAGTGCGATGTGCCGGGATGCACCAAGCAATACAGGTCGCGATACACCCTGATCTCTCACAAACGTGAACATACCGGCGAAAAACCTTTCGTATGTGATGTGAACGATTGTGGCAAAGCTTTCTCGCAGAGATATCAATGGATTTCTCATAAGAAATTACACGAACCAGGTGGGTTCGATAGTGAAAGGGACAAAGGGGATAAGAGTGGTTACGAGAGTGATCAATTGAAGATGATTGCTCAAAGTGAGGAGGCGAAAAAACGAGGAAGAAAGATTAAGGTCGAGGATGAGGAGGAGGATGAGGAGGAAGACGAGACGGTGAACCTTTTGAAGAGAAGTCTCCAACCAAATGCCGATGAAAGTGGTGAGAAGCGTAAAAGATTCAGGAGAAAATGCGATTGGATCAAATGCGATTACCCAGGATGTAGGAAGAAGTTCCGGTATCCAAAGATCCTAAGAAAGCATTTGTTATCTCATCCGCAAAAGGTATTTTTGTTTTTCCTTTGAAAAAAAGAAAAAGGATTATTATTCATGTTCATTAATCACCCTTCGCGTCTCGTAGCCTAAAGAGGAATGTACGAGTTCGCCCGCCGAAGATTCGAAGAGAACCACGATGCTACTTAAAACCGAGGATATCTCGGAGTTTGAGGTGACAAAATTCGTCTCGAAGAATTCATCAGCCGAAAATGAGGAATCCACTCATTTCATGAGCGCAAACCGCGTTGACGATAAAGTCAACGGGGACTCGAAGGTCTCCGGTGAAATAGGATACATGTCGAATCAAGCTCAAGTCGATGATCCAGCCGCCGAGAAAAATAATTCGGAGGAAATGATAAACTTTACCGAAATCGATAAGTCATTCGACGGTAAAGAATCGAGGCATTCCGAAAACTGGATAAGTCTCGATGACAACGACGAGGAGATAATCGACGCCCCATCAAAAGTTGTAGAAGTTCCTGATTATTTCGTCTAATATTTGGATGGGTTTCCGGAGTGGCGATGTACATGACTCGGGTTTTTTCTTGTCTTTTTTTTTTTTTTCCTTCCTTTCTCCGTATACTTTTTTTTTGTATAATTCACGAAACTATTTGAAAGAAGCCGATTGCTTGAATTCACGAAAGTATATTCTACTGATTGTTTGGACATACAGACGTTCCCCGTTATTTAGGATCTATTATTATTATTCTGTAGATTTCAATGTTCAACCCAGACTTGAACTTTCCCTCCCCTTTTTTTAAAAAATAAAGGACATTATGAAAGTGACAAAACAAAAATCACCCCTTTTTTTTTGTCACAACCTTTTTTTTATTTTGCAACGACGGGTGCGCGTCGCAATTACCTTAAGAATTTATGCGACAAATATATTTATGTAATATGTATTGGCTGGTTGGATACTTTAGTAAAAAAAAAAGAAAAAAAAAATTACACATCTCGTAAAAAAGAATCGATGAAATTCATTATGCAGTCTAATTATTTTGTATTGTCCATTACATGTCTACTATGATGTAATTCTATGCAACCACGCATATTTCTATGTATATTTCTATTCCTTTTTTGATTGTTTTTTTTTTGTTATATATAAAGTATGTAAATTTCACAATATTTACAAAGGGTTTATAAGATTTCATGTGGAATTAAAAGAACACGCATTCGCGGCACCGTGTCCAGAATGATGATTACGCGTGACTTAGTGTCGAATCCGCTTATGTTTAGAGAGAGAAGTGGAAAAATATTAAAAAATCTTTATTATTATTATTACATAAACACATATTTTGTTTTTTTTTTGTACAAACTTATTTTACGCATATAAAATGCTGCTTTTTGTTTTTTTTCTCGATTGTTTTAGGGTTGAATTGTTCTTAGAATCAAGAAATTGTTCATAAGTGTAGCTTATGGGTTTTCTTCTTAGAATCCTACTTCTTCGGGAGTTTTTTTTTTTTGAAAAAAGAAAAGAATAAAAATATATATATATGTATGTATATGTATAGATGTATATTATGTATATATGTATGTATATATGTATATATATATATGTATATAAAATATTATATTAGATTGTTCCTTTTTTTTTTTTTATAAGCTCGGTATATTCCAGACTCCATTCCTGCCTACTCCGAAACCACCATTACTTATGCCAATCCTCTCGACGAACGCACTCGTTCCACCATTAAGACCACCCACCGGAACTCCATCATCGTTTCGTACACCACCACTTATCTTGTCCACCCACTCCCTGAATCCCTGGCACTGATGAGAACTCACGTATCTAGCTTCAAAACCTTTTCCGAATTTGGCCTTCGCCACCGGTGCCACCATCTCCTCTTCAAGGTTAATGCATTCGTAAACTTCCAAGAATTCGATTCGCTTGCACTCGGCAACACTTTCCCACGGATCGCATCCTCGAAAGTCTATCTGTTCGAATCGCACGTATCGTAACGACGAGGATTGATATTTCAGGGGGAGAATGATGGCCCGAGTGTAGGCTTTACAATTGGACAGCGTGAAATAGAGTAATGAATATTGAGAGGAGATCAGGGTGCCAATGGCTTCGGCAAAGTTGTCGATGTGTCTTTCGTCGTGACTGCGTGCCCAGAGGTTATGTATGTGTAGGCATTCCTAAAGAATTTCAAAGATCCAAGGGTTAGACATACTGTATTTCGGCATTGCGTGATCTGTCAGCGTGAGAAGAGAAGAAGTAAGATCGAGAAACCTACCAATTTGCGACACCTCTGTCCCAACATCACGTAAACCTTGTCTTTCCTGATCATGCCGTTGATCTCTAACGATTTGACCGGAGACACGAGGTCCTTAAATTCTTCGTCGATTAATAACATCTCGTACATCTCGTCATTCAACTTATCCAATCTATCGGGATTCAAAAATAGCCCGTACAATCTTGATCCTCTCTTCAGACAAGTTCTTAGTATCGATCTCATCAACAAGAACTCGGCATTCTCCACCAATGCATCCTCCTGTTCATCCATTGGCGATGACGAAGTTATGCTCATGTCACGCTCTCCGTTTCCTATTAAATCTTCGTCCTCGTCCTCGGGTGGTGTGGGATTCATGAGCTCGGATAACTCCGAACACCAGGATTCCACGGCTTGCACCATCGACTCGTACCACAGAGAACGTAAGAAGCCGGGATAGTTAAACATCGGTGGTCGTCTGTATTCGCAAACCTCCATCGAATCTGTTGGATGCTCGCTCTCGTAATCTGAGTCCGAATCATCGGAATAGAACTGTTGAAATCGTCCGCTCTGATGGACGCTAAAGTTCAACATTAAAGAAACATCAATTCCCTGGTTGAACAAATATTCCAATTCTTTGTCATCCAGGAATCTCAGGTACATATTGATCACCGCGGCGCCAGCTTCATGTTTGTCCTTGAGAAAATGAAAGGGTTGAGACCAAAGGATCGGCATCGCGATGGAGCACCAAGTTTTATTGACGAGGATACACGGATACAGATTGTGGAGACCTTCAATGGTGTAGGCACCGGTGAACGGATTGGGATTGGCGACGTGCAAAAAGATTTCACGGAGGACATCGTCTACGAGGATTTGTGCCATTGTTACTTTCTTTCCTTGAGAATAATGAGAATAACTTTAATTTTTATTTTTTATTTTCCTTTTATCTTTTAGAGTTTACTTTGATCTGAGTGTATTGTTATAAGCAGGTATGCAGCAAGTGATTCGCAGTTAGCTAATTAGAGAAATTGCTTCGAGTTTTTCTGACGACAAGAGTTCGACACACCTCCGTATATATAGAGAAAAACGGTGTAAACACTAAAGTTGACATCAAAGAAAATTCGAACAAAAAGGATTGGACGGATTACTTGAAGTCGTATCACAAAAAGATAGAATGATTATGTTCTATTTCCCGGAAACAAAGAAGTTTTTTTTTTCGTCACCAAACATTCATTTTTGGTGGTTTGTTTCCGATGGCATCGATTCACATGCATCACTAGGAATGAGTTTAAAATTGCAACCAAGACTGCAAACAAAGAGATGAAAAAAAATGTGACAGGAGATTAGTTGACCAAACATCAATCGTCAGGTAGATCAAGAAAATTCTGTATGTAATATAAAGAACATTTTTAGCATAAGAATTCATACGGTGTAGTAGATGCAAAACTTATGTTTTTATTACTAGGCGCACCAAACAATTTGCTAAATTGGGAACAGTGGTGGCTGTTGACAGAAAAAGGAAGACAAGATTGACGACAGTCCATAAATGTCCATTGTTTATGACAAGGAATTGTGGTATCCAATCGAATGAGAGCACAACCGAGATTGACACATGTATCGTGTCGTGTGCGTACGTTTCCTCGAGCGGTACAAACGATGCTACAGATTTTAGGTATACGTGCATCGATGAAATGTATGCGCGTGCGTTAACCAACAAACAACGTGGTCCATTGAATTAAACAAAGGCATTTGCGTTGTCTCTCCTAGTAGGCAAACAGGTTAAAATTTCAATACTAACATGGCATCCGAACCTGTTACCAATAGTGTACGAATACGAGAAAGAAAACAATGTAGGTTAACGAAATGAGGAAATCAAAAATAAATAGCGTCATTCTTGCGTTAACGTGTGAACACGGTAAATTATGTCGCGTACTTGTTGTGTGTAAGTGACACCGAAAAATGCTGGACTTCGATTCCTTTCTATATATAAACATTAATATAACTGTTAATTTATAATGACCATCAGATTTACCATATTCGCTTTATTACATATTCCAAATTGGGGTAAAAGTTTTGCGCATCGCGTTGAAACCCCCGGGTACAAAATAATGAGCTTTTACGTGTACTTGCTTGACCCTAATCACGATTGAAAAATCATTTTTCCGAACTTTCTGCACGTTTTTTCTCTTTGTCTTTTATTCCTCCATGTGGGCGTCCTTTTGTTTGTAAAAAGTTAAGATCTAATTACCATAAAATTTTTCTTTCTCGGTGCTACCCATCTCGGAGAAAATTTGTGAGAATGGTAACGAATAACTTTGAGGATAACAACAAGAAAAATCGTTATTTGTTTATTTATTTATTTATTATTTGAATACGCAACAATAAAGAAATCTAATGTACAATGATGAAATGAGCGAAGGAAAATAAAAAATGAAAATGAAATAAAGAAACATCCATCCATCAGTCGCACAGGAATAACCTTTCCTTGTTTTAAAAAATAATAATTTTTTTTTTAAAAAAAAGAAAAAAAAGGTTATCTGAAATAATAGTGTTCCCAAGAACCATAAACTTTAGCATCGAGTCTTTGTTATTGTTTAATTAATAATGATCAGAATATTGGATGCAGTTAATGAGTTGCAATAATGGATTAGTTTTTCCTTTGCAATAATGGGACAGGTGAGAAGATCCGTGGATTGGATTTTGATTTGGTGTCATAAAGGACAAATGAAAACACAAAGCTTTGTCTTGTCCTCGGTCCCATTGATTATTGAATGTACCTTGATCAGGTAACGAAGGTGAACATGCGAACGAGAACACATCGGCGTTTTTAGGAATGCTTACGTCAAGCGTGCCTCTTGGAAATGATCAAAAAGGACGAATGCGAAAAAAAGACGCTTAATCGTATTCGCAATATAAACAAGTTTCCTTTTTTGTTCTTGAGCAGATCAATTTATCGTTTTCGACCTTTGGAATTGGTAAATATTTAATGTATAGTGTTGATTTGCGAACAAAGAGTTACGGGATTCAAGGGGTTCACAGATCCAATAACATCGTGATCCGATTCGAATGGTTTCACGAGACTAGACTAATATACGCTAGCACGAATTCTGTAAGATTCTGTAAGATTCTGTAAGATAAAATGTTTATCTTATTCCACGCACCTTTGATTTTCTCTTCAACTCAATTAAACACACAATTTGAAGTTGCTACCCCTCAACAAAGTTATTTACAAGATTCACTGAAAGTTATCCCCGGAAGGGGAACATTAAGAAATTTGCATGCCACTCAAAATCATATTACTATTCTGCCGTTATCATTTACAACACATCAATTTCTATCACACGTGTGTCATGACTTTTTCCCACTAGAAGGACATTTGTCTTTCACTGGGCATTCGGTGCATTTGGGCATCCGGGGAAGACACGTAGTTTGTCCGAATCCGACAAGCATCGGGTTTATTTCCTGCCAAAGATTACGTGGCAACCACGATTCTAATGCCTTTGAAAAAAAATATGGTTCGGTTGAAGTCACAATAGGTAATGAGAATTCTGATGATCTAAAACCGACCTGTCGCGTTCCCTCTGGACCGGCCTTCTCTGTTTTACACCATCCTAATCGGTTGGTGATCCTGTGCACGTGGACGTCCACTCCAATACCTTCATTCCTACCATCGAGATGCGAGTTGAAAAAAAACTCTAGTTAAAACGATCAAACCTAAATTTACTTACTGTTTCCATGCTGAATTCATGCACAGATAGGCCTAGCAAAGTTGAGTTAATTTACAACTCTATGAACAGTGTAATATTAAGTAGTACAAACCATTTTAGGACCGACTCCCGGTAACTTCATTAATTCTTCCACGGTATTGGGAATATCCCCGCTGTACTTATCTTGACAAATTTCTGCCACTTGTTTCATATATCTACAATCATTGGATTGATATTATAAGATTTGCTTTGCTCATGTCAGGTGGATGTCACGAATGTTCCTCACTTTGCCTTTTTACGATGAAATCCGACCTTCGAGATGCATTGATCCAAATATTCTTCGTCCGCCTGCAATACACTCTTCAGGTTTAAACCTCCTGAAAGTTTTTGGCGAAGCTCATGAATGGCTGCGGCAGTAACTTGATCCTTGGTTTGCGAAGAGAGCATCAACGCTACTAGTGACTGAAATCTGGATGTCTAAGTAAGGGTATTTGGAAGAAATGAATAATTTCCAGAACCTCTCAATTGAAATCGAATCGAATATATTACAATGCATTACCTGAGGTGTGATCTCTTTACTAGGTTCCTCTGCTAGTCTTTCACAACCCATCACGTCCACAGGTGCGACCAAGGTTTTTCGATATTCTTTAATACTCTGATACACCTCTTCCCAGTTAGTTGGTGGTTTCGTGGATTTTTGAGTGATTGAAACATTCGTTTTTACGGTTTTCTTGGACGACGAATTTATTACGGCCGCCTCCGTCAACGTCTGTCTTGCAATACTTTCGTCCACCTCACCTTCCGTAGGGAAATATGGGGAAACTTCTTTGTTAAGACGAGAATTTCTGGCGTTTGCGGTTTGAAGCCTTGTGCCAAAGTTCTTTGAAGACGTGTCCGACAAACTTTGCGAGGTAAATTCGAGGCTTGCTTTTCTGGTTTTTGGCATTTTTCCAAGGACGAATCCAACCATCGATTCTCATTTCGTTTGATATCTACCTGATGCCACGTGACACTTTACTATAACTGCATCGCTATCTGATGATTGTGAAACAATAAAATTTTCTACGTGTACGTATGTGTACGTATCGAGGGTCCCTCATCATTTACCATTAAAAGTTTCTGATTGGACCTTCTTTATTTTTAAACCGGAACAGTTTTCTTTCTACAATATAATAATCTGTTTGTTACCTGACTGAGTTTTACATCCACGAAGAATTTGCTTAAAGTACAGCACATTCAAACATTTTACCAACTGCTACAGTAAGTTGTATGTAACCCAATTACAATTCTCGACATGTAAGACAAAATACGGAAAATTGGAATAATGGAATAATGGAATAATGACGTGTTAAAAAAACAATCTTACAAATTTAAAATTTTGCATAGATCTTGCCGATCCGGAAAATTAGCAATACTGTACATAACAAAATGGTCACCCATCGATATCCATTTTAGCTTCCCCAACCACGTATCCCCCACCGACGGGAACTTCACCATTAGGAACGTTGGAAACCGGAATTTCATTAGTTACAGGGACTGACGAAATATTAGGTACATTCTGTTGTTGAACCAACGTGGCCACCTCGACTTGTGGAACATTACCACACTGTAGTGAATTCGGACTCGCGGATACAGATGGCATAGTTTGACCTATTGGGATTTCTGAAGCCACTTGGTTTTGACCTGGGACACCTTGAAAATTGCCGAATTGCTGTAATGCAGCAGGCGTGATAATTGGATTTTGTTGCGCAGCAATTGAAGCCGCATCACTTTCGAATGTTAAACTCCGTGCCGTTTCCATAGGTGGTGCGGGTTGTAATTGTCCTGTTTGTGCACCCAAGAGTTGCGCTGAAGGATCGAATAATGGATATTGTTGTGATTGAGTCCAAGTGACATTAGGATTTTGCGTTTGTACCTGCGTAAATTGACCAGGTGGTTGAAATCCGGGTGGAAGTGATGCTGCGAAAGTTTGTGATTCAAATTTTGATGGCGCTTGCTCGGCTGGCCTAGTTTCGAATGTTTGAACTTTTGACACATGATTCTGTTGTTCCTCCTTCTTTGCATCATCCTTGTTTCCTTTTTCACGTTCCTTATTCTGTTCATGATTGTTACTTTTCTTATGAGATTCTTGTTTCTCTTTATTCTGTTCTTCGCGTCCTTTAGCCTCGCTTTTCTTATCCTTATTCGAAGCACCTCGATCGCTGTCGTCCGAACGAATCCTTCCCTTTTCTTCTTTCATCGTCGTCTGAGGTTCATTTTCGATCAACAGTATAACCTTTGAAGGTTGACCAGAATCTACCGATATGAACTCTCTTTGCTTCACTGCCCCGGAGGATTCTTTGGATGCATCACGAGATTGATTTGAGCTTTCCTTAATCTCAACCTTTGACATTCTTGGAGTGAGTGAAGAAAGAGAAAAAAAATATCTGAGAAAATATATTCTTTTGGGCTCAAGTTATTACGCAGTCATTCGTAATGATAACGTAATATGAAATTTTGATCTGATTTTGCTATGACTTGAGACGATTTCAAGAAATAATTGTTTTTAGGTAAATCTCTTATATTCATTCATTTTAAACACCGTTGCATATTGTATATAAATATATTGCAATTAAAAAAAATATATATTACTATTATTACTATCTTGATTATTTTACTATACTATAAATAAAATTAATTTTTATTTTATTTTATTTGTTATTTATTTATTCAAATTATCAATTAAAAAGATATATTATATCCATATATATATAAACTATAAATATAATTAATTGTAAATAAAATTAATTCATGTTTGTAAATATTCAATGATTAGAGAATGTTAATATTTGTATCAATTTCTATTTTTAAAAATAATAATTAATATTTAACAAATAAAACGTTTTGTTATTATATATATATATACTGTATATTGTATATATTTTGTTTAAAAATTTTTAAACTGATAAAATTAATTAATATATTATATTATATGCAGCATGTAATAAAAATTTTTAAAATTTTAAATATATAAATAATATATAATATTATTTGCTAAAAAATATAAATTATATTATATTTGTGAAAAAATAAAATATTTTTTAAAACTGATATGACTAATAAATAATATTAGTAGTAAAATGAGTAATACAAAATATATTATACAAGTATTTTTAATTCTTTAAAACATTTAAAACATATATTATATATAGGTAATATATAATATTGTATATTGTATGTAATATCATTTTCAAAAAATATTTAATATTGTTTTAATATAAATTTTTAAATAATAATATTTCACTTTAGTTTCTTTAATTATTATTATGAAATTATAAAAATATTAAAATAATTAAATAAATATATATTTTATTATTTTATTATTTTTTTTTTCTATAGATAAACACCATTTCTTTTTTATTTGTATATTACAAAATATATATTTTAAAAAAAATAACATTTTTCATATATAAAGTAGCAAGTTAAATATTAGCTTACTTACAATTACTATAAATAACTAATATTAAAAAAAATTTTAAAACCAATATTATTGCTAAATATAGGTCAAATAATAGCTATGCTTATTTACTTAGAAAAAATATTTAAAATATAAAAAAAATTTGAAAAGAAAAAAGATTTAAAAAAAAAAAAAAATAAAAGTAAGAAAATTAAAACAAAATCAAATAATCTATAAATCTATAAGAAAAAAAATTATATTTTTAAAAGAACTTCTGATCAGGTTTATTGACTTATCTTTCCAGTTCTTTATTATTTGTAAATATAATCTTTGTTAATATAAATGCTAAAGTACATATAATTTAATTTGTTATTATAGCTGTTATTATTGTTATATTGGTATAATTAGTAATTAATAAGATAATCAGATTATAAATTAGTAATATAATTTTGTTTTGACTAAAAAACTCTTTCTACTGATCTTCTTGCCAACACAAAAAATAGACGTTTTAAAGAAATTTTTTTTTTTTTGAAGGAACAGGCAGTCCTCACACATTGTTTTTATTTATAATTTTAGACTTGCGAATTACAAGATTTATAACTCTGTGGTGTGATATACATCTCTCTTTGCTAGGAAGAGTTTAATGCCAGGCTCAATAAATAAAGGCCCTTTCGCCAGAGCTCCTTGGCACCACTCAAGAATATAAGAAAAAGAAATTCAAAACCTATATTATGCCTTGAATGGC